CTTAGAGAATACGTAAGTATTCGCGAACAAGCTGTTGACAACAGTATGAATGTTGAAGGTCATCATGGTAGGCCTTGGGTGGAAATGAGTAATAGGTTATTGGAAACTGGCGAAAGGGTGATCCTTGTTATAAGTGGCAAAGAACTTGGCTGAATTATGCTCTGGTGTTTCGTGGAAGGTAGAAATTTACTGGGTATTTAGAGTGAAAGTTGTCAGAATAAAAATGAAGTCACTTGTGTTAAATACCTTGACAAATAGAGCCGGGGGTAAGCCATGAAGGGAGGGTTCTCATGTACAATTTCCTGATAACTAAACTTATCACAAAAGACTGCAAAAACCACTGATACAGAGACCTGCTATTGCGTGTCCATATTGCCACAACCCCTAGAGAAGGGCGAGGCAAGGGTTCCTGCACTCCTGCACGTACCCACATTCCTGAGAGTTAACAAAAAGTGTGCTTCCCCTTATCTCCTATGAACTCTCAGTAACTTCAGAGAATCCTTAACTTCCCTGAAGACTGTGCCAATTAACTGAGATGTAAAATCCCATTCACTCCCTTTTCTTAGTAGTCACAGGTTTGAATACTATAGTATCAAAGTAATTATAAGTCTTGTGATTTGTATAACTTCAATACCAATGTAATCCTAAATCTTGTGATTTGTATAACTTTTGCATACGACAACATGTAGTAATGTATGATGTCTTAGGCCTTGTTAACTCCCTTTACTCTATGGCAAGCTTGATTAACGCTTCTGCCAGGTGTTACTGATAAGAAGCTGTGAGATACCTCTGGTCATCCAGTGCCAGGAAATGTGGACCATAACTGTCGTTATTAACAAAATGCAGCTGTGACTTAAGCTCTATACAATGCTCTGCTAGTCATATAGTCAATGTGTCGGTACCAACTACCCTGAACTGTAAAACTTGAAGGGTGAGCAGAACCCTTTTAGAATGGCCAGGAGCCTGGTTCTGCTCCCTGGATTCAAAATCAGAAACAAACTTCTTTCTACCAGTTTTTCTGCCTCTTGATTTATTGGTATCGAGGGTTAGCAGCCAAGCATTACTCGTACCATAACACTACGACCTTGCATAGAGTACACATTACACACACACACACACACACACACACACTTCTGTGAAAACCGCTCAGCAACTGTCCAACCTCAGACTGGGACTAGCCTTGTTAATTATCTTTGTAGTCAAAGATAATTATCTAAAAACAATTACATAATCCTGCTCATTTTTCTTTCAAAACTCTTTAACCTGTTTTACCTCCCTGAATATGCATATTATTTTTACTATGGCATGCATATTCCCATTCCTAAATGCCTATCCCCAGATAAATACCGTTTTCTTTTAGGGTCTCTCCATTCGTCATTTAGGTTGACATTAGTTGAGGTGTCTAAGCAAAGTGTTGAAGGAGTAGCTTGGTTTCCCCTTGTCACTTTTAGCAAAATGTGAGAGAACAGAGAGAAATGGAAGGAATAGTTAAGCAGAAAGGAGCAAAATTTAAAAATGCGAAAAGTTCTCAGCCTATTCTTAATGTAAAGATAAGGGAATCTGTTCTGAAGAGAACACTAAGGGTATGGCTGAACAATCATTTACTTGATAACAGTATGAATATGAACCACAGATTTAATTAGTTATCTCAGCAGAAGCCAGATATAGAGATGGGATTCTACCAGCAAAAACACTGCCAGCTGGGACCAAAGCAGCAGACACTGCCAGTTTGGACCAAAGGGAACGGTGGGACTACAGAGCGATTTGGCTTTGAACATGCTTTAAATCCTTTTTCAAAGGGGAAGAATGACCCTGAAGGCAGTTCAGAGATCAGACCCCTGGGGGCAAGGCTGCTTCCTCAGGGTTTCAGCAGGCCAGGCAGTCACTGGATGGGCAGGACTGCATGGGTGGGGCTGCCCTCTTATCCCAGGGGAAGGGACAAGGTCACTCACAGAAATGTGGGCTGACCCTGCCCCAGTGGGCCTGGAGAACAGAGCATCGAACCAAAGAAAATTATTCTTGAGCCTTATGGTCTAATGGAATTTGCCCTGCGAGGTTTTAGACTTGCTTGGTACCCACTAACCCTTTCTTCCTTCCAATTTCTCCCTTCTGGAAAGGGAATGTCGATCCTATGCCTGTCCCATCATTGTATTCTGGAAGCACATAACTTGTCTGGTTTCACAGGTTCAAGGCTGGAGAGGAATTTGCCTCAGGATAAATTGTACCTTGAGTTTCACCTGTTACCTGATTTAGATATTTTTAGGTGAAACTTTGGACTTTAGGTTTCAGGGTTGATACTAAAATGAGTTAAGACTTCTGGGACTGTGAGGATGTGAAAGTATTTTGCATGCTAGAAGGACATAAGTTTTAGGGGGGCCAGAGGTAGAACACTATGGACGAAATGTTTGTGTTCTCCCAGAATGCATATGTTGAAGCCCTAATCCTCTGGTGTTTGGAGATGGGACTTTAAGGAAGTTATTAATGTTAAATGAAGTCATAAGGGTGGGATCCTGATCTGATGGCATTAGTATCCTTAGAAGAAGAGGATACTAAGTGAGAAATTAAATGTCTGCTGTTTAAGCCAGTCTGTGGTATTTTGTTACAGTAGCCCAAGCTAAGACAGTTCTAAGTTCTGAAGTTTGAAAAGCAGATTTTCCTTCCCTAAATTTAGAAAACCACTGACAGCATTCCCTCTCCCTTGGGACTAAATTTGACCTTCTTGAGTTAAATTTTTTTCCAAAAGAGAACTTTAAGACCCTATCTAATCTAGCCTTTTTACCCTAGAGAGGTCAAGATTTGATTTTCAATTTTTTCCTTCAATCTTTCCATTATTCCCTAAACTATACACTTAAAAAAAACCTTTTAATCCTTTCAGCTTGCTGGTTCTTGGCCTATGCCATCCACCTTCTCTTACAGTGTATACTTAATATTATTACTGATATCAATCATGTCTATCTTTGTTAATCATGCTAATATATTTACTGTCTTTCCCAAATGGTATTTAAATTTTAAACTGTGCTGTAACTGTGGAGTGAAACTTTGGGCTGTCAAGAGAATTTCAAGTCTCAGCTGTCTATTGGGGGGCTTTTAAACATAACAAACTTAAAAAAAAATTCTAACAATTTTCAGTACAAAGAAGAATATATCCATTATACAAATTCAACATTATCAAAATTTTTGCCACATTTGCTTAATCTATTCCTTTTCTTTGCTGAAATATTTCGGAGCAAATCTAAGACATCATGTTATTTAACTCTTTGTATTTCAATATGCATCTCTTTAAGGTAGGAGGTACATTTCCTTATATAATTAAAATGCAAGTATCTTATGTAATCTATTAGAATTAACAATAATTCTTTTGTTTGGGAACTTTTGAAGTGAAACAAATCATATACAATTTTAATACTATGAAAAAGTTAGCACTGCAATAACAGCAATATTCTGTAGCCTCAAGCAGTTTTAAAGCAAAGTCTAGTATGTTCTCAAATGCAGGTGCTGACCTATCATCTTACTAAAGTTGAGCTCAAGAATGCCTAAGACAACTCTTAAAAATACACAACATCAAGATTTTGGTTTTAGATGTTATTTTAATAAAACACACATTGCTGTGCACAAATATACATTTCAAATTGTAACATTAAAACACAAAATGTAATAAAGTGGCTGTAAGAGTTTTTTTCACTGAGACAAACCTGTTATTTGACATTTATGGTTATAAAGACATAAAAAACAAGGGAAATACAGATTTTCCAACTTCATGATTAGTAATCCTCTAAAAATGGATTAAGGCATCATAGTCATAAAAAGGGTAAACAGTTAGATGGTCCTGTTTACCTTGTATAATTTGAGTAAGAAACACAACAAGAGCTATCAGAAGCTAGCTGAGAGCAGTGTCACACCTATAATCGCAGTACTTTGGGAGACAGAGGCAAGAGGATTGCATGAGACCAGGGGTTCGAGACCAGCCTGGGCAACTTGGCGAGATCTTGTCTCTACAATAAATCAAAAAAATTAGCTGGGGGTGGTGACATGCACCTGTAGTGCCAGCTACTTGGAAGGCTGAGGTGGAGGGACTGCCTGAGCCCAGCAGGTGGAGGCCGTGGTTGTCGTGAGCGTGCCACTGCATTCCAGCCTGGGTGAGAGTGAGACTCTGACTCAAAAAAAAGAAAAAGAAACTAGTTAAATGTTAAAAGGTATATAGCTGTCTTCTACCAATGATTATATATATGATATATAAAGACCCTCAATGTAAAATGTTTCAGTATGACCTCATTTGTTCCATAATGACAATTTTTTCCAGTTTATCTATTGTTCTTTGTGTAAGAGCATGTATTTACCATAAATCTTGCCCTCAGGTCAAACAACCTTGATGTTATCATACTTCAACTGTCCTACAGATCTTTTCTGAATCACCCTCCCCCTATGGTGTATGTAAATCCTGGGTCTGGAGGGGAGGGATCCACTATCTTGTCACTGCCTGAGACACAGACATGGCTTCTGTCCATAAGTCCCTACTAAATGTTTCCTTCTAAGAAACTGGGTATGTCAGGCTCTTTCTGTGGCTTCTGAGCTTCCTAGGACTTTAGGAATAGATCTGCATGGACCTGCTCACTTTGAAATAGACATAAATGAGAACTCCTAAAAAGAAACAATTAGTTCCAAGTCAGATTATGTTAAAGGTCTAAAGAAAAAGGCATGGGCAGAAAACATGGGCTACATGCACATTTTTATTTCTGAGAGTAATTTTTGCACACAAAATAGCTGCCTTTGTGTTACAAAAACAAAAAATACTAATTATTAATCCTACAGAACCAAATTAGCTTAACATAGAGTAACAAAATCAAAGCCAGCCTTGTCATCTGCATATTTGATAAATCAAGCTGCATTTACAGAAAAAAACTGCACCTGTACTTTTCAGCACTTAAATGAAGAGCCATCACACGGCTCTCTCTCTCTTTTTTTTTTTTTTTTTTAGAAAGATGTATACATGGGAAATCCAGCAGAATGTTACTCGTGAAATTCCATAAAATTTATAAGGCAGTCGGTAGTTGGTGGCATTTAAGGACAGTAAAAGTTTGCACTCTTAAACGCTCATTGATAAGCTTTGTGCCAATATTTTAAAAAATATAACTTTCACTTATGATGAAACAGTGAGGAAAGAAATACAATATTACATCATATCCCAGCATAGAGTTACTATATTTGCATAATTGAATCACTAGTAAAAGAGTTAATTTGTTGTTTTAAATGAAATCTTGTCTAGGTATTAGGCTGTAATCTAAGTGTTGACAGTGCCTATTATCAACTCCCCAAATAACCAATAACAGCTTATGTGTCAAGATTAATTCTCTTTGGCCGCAATGGATACCACTTTCTCTGAGGGCAGTCTTTAGTTTGCTTTCTTTTCAGTACCACATCGGAGGTTTTCCTGGAAACAGTCTCTGTTGGTGTGGTTTCTACATGTGTTTTAAAACTCTCAGGTTTAGCATCTGGTTTCCTGTGACAACCGGAAAAAACTTCCTGGTGGACCCTCTGGAGCTGGATAACAGGCTGCATCTTTAAAACTTGAGAAAATCCATCTCCTTGTTCAATTAGTGTAGGCAAGGACTTAAAAAAAGACAACAGTAATAATCAACATTTATCTCAGGTTGAAACACAAACACACAGAGATGGACATAATACTCTATTTTAACTCTTCAGCTCAAGGCTTTTTCTGAGACCTAATATTTTGGGGTTATGGATATTCAACTTTACCTTAAAAAAAAACAGTTTAAGCTGAAGAATTTTAACTAAGATAAGACTAAAAGTTATATTCTATTCCTACAATGCCTGATAGTAAAATAAAATTTTGGCAGAAAAGAAGGTAACAGAATTTTGAAGCTAAGAAATTCATGTCTGAAATTCTAAATTTAAGCATAATAATGAGTATTTTAGAAATCTTAATCAAGGGCAGGAATCAGCATATCTTTCCTTTAAAGGACAAGACAGCAAATCTCTTAGGCTCTGGGAGTTTTTAGTCTCTGTTACAAGAACTCAACTCTGCTGTTGTAACATGAAAGAAGTCAAAGAAAAGTAGATGAATGAACATGGCTATGTTCCAATAAAGCTTTACTAACAAAACTAAGTGGCAGGCTGAATTTTAGCCTGGCCCACTACTGTTTGCCAACTCCTGATGACAAACATGCAATGAGTGAATAATGACCACCAGGAAATCAGGGAATCAAAACAGACCACAAAAGTGCTACAGAAAATTAACATCAGAACAAGAAAGGCTCTGGAGGAGCTTTACAATAATTCTCATATACTAGAAACCCAAACTTTCCTGTTTGAGTAACATAAATATCTAGAATATAAACAATTCTATTATAGTAACAGTAAAACTCCCAAGTTGGTAGGTGACAGTGATTAACAGTATAGATTCTGGAGCCAGACATCCAGGACTTAAATCTTGGTTCAGTTACTTAATTGAGCAACTATTTAGGTTCTCTGTGCAGCAGCTTCCTCATCTATAAAATGAGGAAATAATAGTACCTATCTTGCCAGGCATGGTTTCTCATGCCTATAATCCTAGCACTTTGGTAGGCCAAAGCAAGAGGATTACTGGAGGCCAGGTGTTCGAGACCAGCCTGGGCAACAAAGAGAGACCTTGTCTCTACAAATTGGAAAATCAGCTGGGTGTGGTAGTGTGGACCCATCATTCCAGCTACTTGGGAGGCTGAGGCAGGAGGATCACTTGAGCCCAGGAGATTGTGGCAGCAGTTGAGGTGTGATCTTGCCACTGGCACTTCAGCCTGGGTGACAAAGTGAAACCCTGTCTCTAGAAAAAAATTTTTTTAAAAAGTACCTATCTCATAATTATTATTTTTTGAGTCAGAATCTCACTCAGTCGCTCAGGTTGGAGTGCAGTGGCACGCTCACAGCCACTGCAGCCTCGACCTGCTGGGCTCAGGAGGTCCTTCTACCTCAGCCTTTCAAGTAGCTGGAACTACAGGCACACGCCACCACATTCAACTAACTTTTTTATTTATTGTAGAGACGAGGTCTTGCCATGTTGCCCAGGCTGGTCTTCCCATGGGCTCAGGCAATCCTCTCGCCTCCAGTTCCCAAAGTGCTGGGATTACAGACATGAGCCACTGCTCCTGGCTTCTTATAGTATTAGTGTAAGTATTAAATGAGATAATACATGTAAAACAGTTTGATGGTACCTATACCAAGTGCTTAATGAATTTTTGCTAGTGTTATTACCCCAAATTGTTTGATGAACTAAAAACACCTAGAATCCAAAATATAATCAATCTTTACAGAAGTTAAGTATAATACCTGGTACACAGGAGATACCTGATAGATGGTAGTTATTCTGAATGCTACTACTGCATAATAAATTCATTTAATGATTTTTTTTTTTTTAGTAGAAATTTCACTCTGTCAGGTCACCGCAGCCTGGACCTGCTGGGCTCAGGCGATCGTTTTGCCTCAGCTTTCCAAACAGCTGGAGCCACAGGCGTGTGCCACCACGCCCAGCTAATTTTTTTGATTTATTGTAGAGACGAGGTCTTGCCAAGTTGTCCAGGCTGGTCTCGAACCCCTGGGACTCAGGTAATCCTCTTGCCTCTGCCTTCCAAAGTGCTGAGATTACAGGCGTGAGCCACTGTGCCCAGCCATTTAATGATCTATTTAAAAAACTACTGAGAATTCTTGCTACAGCAGAATAACAGACTAACACACGTATGAGTGTTAAAGAAGATACCTAGTTACACATTTTGTTCATTTTATAATTTTTCAGCAGGTAGCTTTTACCTTCATGGCTTCACTGATCTCCTTAGCTATTGTTTCCCCTCTGCATTTCAAATTTTCCATATGAGAGCCTGCAAAGAAGTCACCAGATAGTATTTCAGGTTTTTTATCTAATAGCAAACCATAAAAGGCATACAGATGTTATTTGGACAAAAGTCTGCTAGAACAATTCACCTTTGCTGAATCTTTCTTAGAATACCTTGTACTCTATTACAGCAAGTGTCCTATAAAAGACTGTGAGAACACTGTAACAGTAGAGTAAAATAAAGTTACAAGCATTGGATAGCAGACTAGAGTCTGTTATGAGTAATCACTGCCCCCTGAAAGACAGCTCAATGTTCATTCTATATATCATCACATTTTTAAATAAACATAGGCTAATATTTAATTTTTGTATTACTTTGAATTTTATGAAAGTAAAACATATTTGAACTTGGAATATACAATTATACTGCACTGAGGCCATACCTGGAAAAAAATCTAGAATAGATTGTCATTATTATAAGTTTTGCTTTCCTTACTTCTTTGATGCTTTTCTGATTCCTAAAACGTTTTCATTTCCTCCAATCTTTGTTATAAATGTACATGGCTATTCTGTAACAGAACTGCATGTTCAATGATAGAGAGGGATAAAAATCTTCTTAAACTCCAAATAAAACTGAAAATAAGTCATTCCATTATGAAGTGATCTAAAAATTAGTTTTTAGGAAAGTGTTCTCATTAGAAATTTCTTTGCCAAAACAAGTACACAACTATGTTAGAAGGGTCACAGCTTTATTGGCTTCAAGAGAGTGGTGAATAAACCAAGCAAAGAATTTCTTTCATAGCTGCTATTTTTATTTTCTGACTTTTCTTAGGTTCATTTCAAAAAAGCAAGAACACATTTAGTAAAAAAAGGAAATAAACAGTAAAAACAATTTACTGAGAGACAGAGGGAGACTCAAAGAAGGAGAAAGGCGATGGCAACATGATGACTTCAGAAAAGGAGTTCTTAACATTTTTTTTTGTTTTTGGTACCAAAAATTTCTTTGACAATTTGGTGCCGCCCATGAACTCCTTCTTAAATATTTTTTAATGTATTTTAAAGTGGAGGCATAATTTACATACAGTGAAATGTATGGATTTGAGTTATAATGTTATAGATTTAAGATGTAAATTGTAATTCCCAGGGAAATCACTAAAAAAATAACTAAAAATTATACAGAAAATAACAAAAATAGTATACTCCAAAAGGTCAACTAAACAAAATAGAAGGCAGTAATGGAGGGACTGAAGAACAAAAAAGGTATAATACAGGAAACAAATAGCAAATGGCAGAAGAAAGTACTTCTTTATCAGTAAATGTAAATGAATTAAAGTCTTCCATTAAAGGCAGAGATTGGAATGTGGATTTTAAAAAACAAGATCCAACTATATTCTGTCTACAAGAGATTCACTTTAGTTTCAAAGGCATACATAGGTCTGAAAAGTGAAAAAATGAGGTAAGATATCCCATGCAAAAGGTAAGCAAAACAGACCGGGGGTAGTTATACTAATATTAGACAAAACACACTCATTAAAGCCAGAAACCAAATTAAAACAAGAAACAACATACTGATAAGAGGGCCAATCCATCCAGAAGATCTAGCATTTACATAAATACATATACATACAGCAACAGGGCCTCCAAACACAGAGGCATAAGTCATTCTATGGTACTTCACAGATACTGCATTTTTTTTTTTTTTACAAATTAAAAGTTTGTTAACGCTGTGTCAAGCGAGTCTATAAGTACCATTTTTCCAAGAGCATATGCCCATTTTGTGTCCCTGTGTCTCAATCTGGTAGTTCTCATGATATTGCAAATGTTTTCATTATTATATCTGTTATAATGATCTGTGACCAGTGATCTTTTTTTTTTTGAGTTGGAGTCTCACTCTGTCGCCCAGACTGGAGTGCAGTGGCCGCTCCCGGCCACCGCAGCCTCGACCTGCTGGACTCCGGCAATCCTTCCAAGTAGCCAGAATTACAGGCATGTGCTACCATGCCCGGCTGATTTTTTGATTTATTGTAGAGATGAGGTCTTGCTGCCCAGGCGGGTCTCGAACCCGCGGGGTCAGGCAATCCACTCACCTCAGCTCTCCAAAGGTGCGGGATTACAGGCTGAGCCACCGAGCCCAGCTGACCAGTGATCTTTAATGTTACTACTGTAATTGTTTTGGGGCGCCATCTATAAGGCAGAATGACAAACCTCATCAATAAATGTCAAATGTGTTCCGACTGCTCCACTGACTGGCCGAGAATCTCCTTGGGCCTCACTATACCCTGGGACACAACAATATTGAAATTAGGCCAGTTAATAACCCTACAATGGCCTCTAATTGTTCAAGTGAAGAGTCACATGTTTCTCTGTTTCAATCAAAAGCTAATAATGTTTAAATTTAATAGAGAAGGCATGTTGAAAGCCAAGGGAGGCTGAAAGATAGGCCTCTTGCACCAAACAGCCAAATCGTGAATGCAACGGAAAAGTTCTTGCAGGTAATTAAAAGTGCTACCCCAGTGAACACAAAAAATAATGCGAAAGTAAAACAGTCTTATTGCTGACAGGAAAAAGTTTGAGTGATTTGGATAGAAGATCAAACTACTCGCATTACCTTAAGTCAAAGCCGAATCTAGAACAAGTCCCTAACTCTCTCCAATTCTATGAAGGCTGAGAGGGTTTTGAAGTTAGCAGAGGTTGGTTCATGAGTTATAAGCAAAAAAGCCATTTTCATAACATAAAAGTATACAGTGAAGCAGCAAGTGCTATGGAAAGCTGAAGCAAGATATCCAGAAATCTAGTTGTGATCACTGATGAAGATGGCTACCCAAACAGTCTTCTGTTGGAAGAAGATGCCATCTAGGACTTTCCTAGCAAGGGAGAAGTTAACTCCTGACTTCAAAGCTTCAAATGACAGGCTGATTCTCTTGCTTGGGGCTAATGTGGCTGGTTACTTTAGTTGAAGCCAATGCTTACAGACCATTCTAAAAATCCTAGGGCCCTTAAGATTTATGCTAAATTGACTTTGCCTGTACTCTGCTTATACCATGGTTTACTAAAAATTTTGAGCCACCCCTTGAGGCCTACTGCTCAGAAAAACATTCCTTTTAAAATATTACTGTTCATTGACAATGCACCTGGTCACCCAAGAGCTCTGATGGAGACGGACAAGGAGATGTATGTTGCTTCATGCCTCCTAACACAACGCCTGTTCTGCAGCCCATTGATCAAGGAGTAATTTAGATTTTCAAGCCCTCTTATGTAAGAAAAGAATTTCCTAAGACTATTACTGCCACAGACTGTGATTCCCCTGATGAATCTGGGCAAAATAAATTGAAAACCTTCTGGAAAAGATTCACCATCCTAGATGCCATAAGAACATCTGTGGTTCATGAGAGAAGGTCAAACTATCAACATTAACAAGAGTTTAGTCGGACGCCTATAATCGTGAGCACATTGGAAGCTGAGATGGGAGGACTGCTTGAGCCCAGGAGTCTGAGACCAGCCTGGGCAACATAGCGAGACCACATCTCTACAAAAAAAAAAAAAAGCAAAAGAATTAGCCAGTCATGGTAGCACATGCCTGTGTCCCAGCTACTCAGGAGGATGAGGTGAAAGGATTGCTCTGAGCCCAGAAGGTCAAGGCCCACAGTGAAGCGTGAGCATGCCCCTACACTCTGGCCTGGGTGACAGAGACTCCAACTCAAAAAAGCAAACAAATAAACAAAAACCCAAAACATTAACAAGAGTTTGGAAGAAGTTGATTCCAAGCCTCAACCTTCTGAATGACTGATGGGCTCAAGATATCAGTGGATGAAGTACCCGTGGAAATGGTAGAAATAGCAAGAGAACTAGAATTAGAAGTAGATCCTCTAAATGTGACTGAATTGCTGCAGACTCATGATAAAACTTCAATAGATGAGGAATTGTGTCATACAGATGACCAAAGAAAGTGGTTTCTTAAGTGGCATCTACTACTAGTGAAAACGCTGTGAACGTTGTTGAAATGACAACAAAGAATTTAGAATATTACTGAAACTTAATTGATAAAGTAGCATCAAGGTCTGAGAAGACTGACTCTAATTGTGAAAGAAATCCTACTGTGGATAAAATGCTATCAAACATCACCACATGCCACAGAGAAATCTTTCATGAAAGGAAGTCTATTGATGTGGCAAACGTCATTGTTTTATTTTAAGACATTGCCTCAGAGAGGTTGCAAAACTTTATAAACGTACTGCCAGTGAATTACACAATTTAAAATGGTTAAAATAATAAGCTTCATGTGTATTTTACTACCACCACCACCACAGAAAAATAGCATCCATATGTTTGGTAGCCAGTCCCCAATGATCCCTACCTCCTGGTATTCATACCTTTGTGCAGTCATCTCGCACACTGTACTAGGTTGGCCTGCATGACCAGTAACTTATAGCTCAAGTAATAAAAAATGAATTCCAAGATTAGGTTATTAAAAAGATTACAACTTCCATGTTGAGTGTTCATTCTCTCTCTCAGATCATTCACTCTGGTAGAAGTAAGTTGATATGTTAGAAGAAGGTTATGGAGAAGCCCTCATTGTGAGGGACTAAAGTCTCTGACTAACAGTTAGCCAGCCCTTACTAAAGCCAGCCATCAACCAAATGAGTGAGCTTGAAGTGGATCTCCCAGTCCCAGTTGAGCCCTGAGAGGAAACCATAGCCCCAATTGACAGCTTAACTATAACCTTGTGAGAGCCCTAATCTAGGACTACCCAGTTAAGCTGCTACCAGATTAATGACCCACAGAAACGCAAGAGATAACATATATTTATTGTTTTAAGCATGTCAACTTTGGGATGATTTGTTAGGTAGCAATAGATAACTAGCACAGTATAAGAGCAATATATTTTTAAATCAATAAATTTAGGCCTATCTTAAGTGAAAATTAAAATTCTTGGTGAAAAAAAAATTTTTTTTTTTTTGAGTTGGAATTTCACTCTGCTGCCCAGGCTGGAGTGCAGTGGCACGCAGCCACCGCTGCCACTACCTGCTGAGCTCAGTCGATCCTTCT